TCTCCTCTGGGTCTCTCTGTGAGACCACGTCTTTACTAGCTATTCCATCACAGCTCTTAGCACAGCTACCACTCTGCTGGGTGTGGTGTGACTCTCTGAATAAGCTGTCTCCCCCTTCACACAGGAAAGGAAGCTCCATAAAGAACAACGCTCTGTTGTTGCTCTCCACTGTATGCCCTGAAGTTGTCCTGTTTCCCACTTCTACTACACAGTGTGCCCTTCAACAGCTCCTGAATGCTGGAGCCCTCGCCTGGTGCCTGACAGGTTCAAAACATTCAGTCCTCAGCACCAGCCAACCAACCAACCAACCAACGACAACAAAAATTAAATATTCCTTCATTAAATGGGCAAATAAAAATGTGTACTGTGGTGACATACCTCTCTTTAGTCTCCCAAATGCTAGGAATGCAGTGTGGACCACCCTTGCATATTCATGTAGTCCTCCACAACACATGCAGTCCCTAACATGTAAAGCATAGCACGCGCGCGCGCGCACACACACACACACACACAGAGTAGGATGTGACGCAGCGCGCGCGCAGTAGGGTATGTGATGAATGAGAAGGGTCCGTGGGAGGCTCCAGTGCTTCTGCTCCCACTATCACAGCATTTGGGAAATTTTTGCTGTGTTTTGCTTGTTTGTTTATTCTTATTTTGTTTCCCTTTCCAGTGCTGGGAATTGAATTCAGGAATTTGTACATATTAGGCCTATACAGAGCTACATCCCCAATGGTTTTACTCTTAATATCGTTTCTGTTCACAATTAAGACAGAATAACCTTCATTGCCTTCAGGGGAGCGTCTTTGGGAATATCCTGTCTTTCAGTGTGTTCTTCTGTAGCACATGTCAGATCTGCAATGGGTTCCCTCCCTGTGAAGGTCTTGATCCTTTACAAATGCCTTCATCAGCACCATTAGAGTTTAAACTACCATTGATGTCCCCGTGGTTAAACTGGACTACACACCTTTCTTTCTGTAACCATTATTTATTAACTGGAATTAAGTCAGCGTTCTGACTGAATCTTAGAGCCAAAAATTCTCTCTGCTTATGTTATTTAGGAAGAAAGCCAGCACAGTGGGTGCCAGGATGACTTAACATTTTGTTGTGGCACATCTGTTTTTCAGTGGTTAATGGGAAGGAAGAGTTTAATTACTTTGTTTTGGTTTTTTGAGCTAGGATCTCATTTACCCTCAAACTCCATTTGCTACCAAGATGACCTTGAACTCCTGATTCCCTTGCCTGAATGTCCTCTGTCTTCCTTGAAGTTTGCAAAATGATTACTTTCTTAATTATTTGCACTTATAATTTTGAGAATACTTTTAATTGCTCATGACTAGTGTGAGCCAAGTTTGTCTCTTGGTGTCTCTAAAGCTCTTCAGGAAAACTGGAGTTTGGTATGACCATTGGTGCAGGGGCAAGGTTGTCATCTGAAATCTAGGAAGCCTGGAGTCCTGGGCCCACTGCTTACTCACTGTCAGTCTTCAAAGTCCAGCTTGGTTTCTTCTCCTTGGCAATCCCTCTCGGACCCCTCCCTTACTCAGATTTGTATCAGTGTGAGTATCTGCCCGTTTTTCCCATTTGGCCTGGAAAGGTCCAACAAAGACCTTAAACATTTCTATGTCCTCAGGGCTGCCTGTCAACTTTTACAGTTGTATGAAATAATGTTCTGCTGTTCCTGGTGCTACTTTCCTTTTCAGCTTATAAAATTCACCAAGCATTTATTACATGCTGAGCTATGCTCTGTAAGACTGCTGTGCAAATCTCATGGGAGCATGCACACAGAGCTGCCATAAAGCCTAGTGGTAGAGAGCTTGCTTGGCATGTGCAAGGCCTTGGGTTCAAGAAATGAAAGAGAAAATTAAAAAGGCAAAAAAAAAAAAAAAAAAAAAAGGGAAGATAAATGGCAAGATAGTTGGAGAGGCAGATGGCGATGAATTTGGAGCCCAGTGTAATCTGTTACCTATGTAGTACCACTACAGAATTCCTAACTCAATCCAAATGCCCTGGGATTTCAGCAACTCTTCTGTACCCTGGATCCAAGAAGCATCAAGTTCAAGAGAGTTATGTCTTTTTAAAAGTATTTTTTACATTTATTTATTTATTTAATGTATGTGTGTGCCACAGTGCACATGGTGTACATGTGAAGGTCAGAGGTCAGCTTGCGGGAGTGTGTTTGGCCCCGGTGGCCAGGCTGGCTGGCAGGGCCCTTTCTAGGCTGTGTGGCCATGCTGGTGCTCACTGTCTTCCTTACTACTTCCTCCTGCTCAGGACTGAATCTCCCAGGCTGAACATGACAGCACAAGTCTTGAATCCCAGCACTTGGGAGGCAGAGGCAGGCAGATTTCTGTGTGTTCGCAGCCAGTCTGGTCTACATAGTAAGTTCCAGAACAGCCAAGGCTACACAGTAAGACCCTGTCTCAAAAAGAAGAGAAAAGAAACAAAACTATCCCCCTATCTCCCTTTCCCACAGGTCTATCTGTTGCCAGGTTAATCTTTTTCTTTTCCAGCCTGAGAGACTGAGCCCAAGGCCTTTTCAAAAGCTAACAAGTGCTTTACCAGAGCCCTTTATCCCCAGCAAAGATCAATCTTCTGAAAGCAGACATCTGCTCATTTCTGCTTCCTTCCTTCCTCCTTTCCTTCCTTACTTTCTTTCTTCCTTTCCTTCCTTCCTCTCGTTCTCTCTTTCTTTTTTGAGACAGTTTCACCTAGCCCAATCTGGTCTCTAACTCACTCTGCCTTCAGCCCTCTTTCCCTACCTCCCAGGTGCTAGGATCAGAGGAGCGTGCTTTACATCCCTTGAGCGGATTCTATAGACAAGCTTTCAAAGGTCTCCTACAGAGTATTCGGAGCCCTGTGCAGAACAATAGGAAGTAAAATCATGAGTGAGTGGGGTGAAAATCAGGGGCAAGTGGAGTGTGGGCCCCAGCTGTTCAATAGTAGCTCCTGGCCCTTGCAAAGCAAACAGGAGTTGCTCAGACACATTTATCTGTGGCCAAATCAAATAACCATAGTATGGGCACTGGTCTCAGTATTTCCTTTGGAAAGTCACAGAAGAACTACAAGCCGCTATAAACGTATTTAAATCCCAGCATCACTTACAATGGTAGCCATAGGGAAAGACCCACACCACTTTTAAAAGAGATTCCCCAGGATCCATTATTAAATGTACTCAGAAGTTGGACAATTGGGCAGCTGCTTCCCTGTCCTCTGATCCAAGTCCTTTGGGGAAACTGGATATGCCCAGATATGCCCAGCTTAGGGCACAAACTGCAGAGAACATGTGGGGAATGCACCCCCATGTCCCAGAAGCTCTGACACCGAGCGAGATTATTTTTAGAGGTGGCCTGTTAGGTGCTTCAGAAAAGTGAACAGAGGCACATGACTTCCCTGAGAGCTGTGTGTAAACACATCAGCACGCATGCACAGGCAGCTGTCTTACCAGGAGGAGGCAGGAGAAACCAAATGTTCACAGCCTCTAGCTGTTCTGGAAAGAACAAGAGGAGAAACCATACCCATTAAGGTCTTGGAAAACATTGTGTGTGTGTGTTTGTGTGTGTGTGTGTGTGTGTGTTTAATGAGCCTTTCTCTGTCCCAGCAGCCAGCTCCCAAATAATGACATGGAGACTTATTAATTATGAAAGTTCAGCCTGTAGCTTAGGCTTGTTCCTAACTAGCTTTTATACCTTAAATTAACCCATTATATTCATCTACATTCTATCACATGGAGTTTCCTTTCTTCCATCTTGCACTTCCTGTTTCCCTCCAACATCTCCTGGTGTCTCCCTGAGTGCCGAGGTTCCTCTTCCTACTTCCTCTCTCTGCCTGGAAGTCCCGCCTATACCTCCTGCCTAGCTATTGGCCATTCAGCTTTTTATCACACCAATCACAGCAACACATCTTCACACAGTGTACAAATATTCTACAACAGTTCCCCCTTTTGTCTAAATAAAAAGGAAAGGTTTTAAAACCTAACATAGTAAAACTGTATACAGTAAGAACAATTATCAAGTAAGAATTACATTTACAGTGTCCAGTCTATTTATATTTGGCAGATTTGGAGAAAGTATTATATTATCTATCCTATCTTAGTGAGTCCAAACCTAAACCATTTCTTGTCATAACTTGTATTACCATTCTACAAATATCTTTTTAGACCTAGAAACATATTCTTAGATAAACAATTTGAGCTTTTATGCTTCTCAATCTTATAAACTTTATATCCCTGATATGTTTTTTTTTCTTTCTGAATTTGATAACAAGGAAAACTGTATATTGTCTAGGCTTTGATCCTCATGAAAGACCCAGGAAGGATATAATACTACCTGATTAAACAGGAAGTGCAGAGCAAACAACTTCTAAAACTATAGAAACAACAGAGACATCTGGCTTCCTGAACAGTCACCCAAGGTTCCTCTGCAACATTGGGGCATCCATCTTCAGCCTGCTGGCCTAGAATATCTGACAGACTTTTCTGTGAAGCAGGAATTTTGGAGGAATGTCCTACCTTATCTGGGCAAGTTCAACAGTTGTCTTTTTTTTTTTTTTTTTTTTTTTTTTTTTGTGTGTGTCCTGCTTGTCCAGTTTGGACAGTGTTGTGGAATATTGACTTAAGGAATGTTACATTTGTTTATTCTGTGGAACATTTGTTTTAATGATGCAAAGATTTATTGCATTATTTTATGTTGCATTTGTTTAACTCTATGTAGCTGTGATTCTTTGCCTGTCTAAAATATCTGATGGTTTAATACAGAGCAAAACAGCCAATATCAAGGCAGGAGAAAGGACAGGCAAGGCTGGCAGGCAGAGAGACTAAATAGGAGGAGAAATCTGGGAGGAGAAGGAAATGTCAAGGGTCAGCCACCCAGTAAGCCACCAAGTAAGAATGAAGGTAAGATATACAGAAGAAAAGGAAAAAGCCCAAGGGCAAAGGGTAGTTGGGATCATTTAAGCAAAGAAAAACTGGCAAGAAATAAGCCAAGCTAAGGCCAGGAATTTATAAGTAAGAACAAAACTCATGCGTCATTTATTTGGGAGCTGGGTGGTGGGCCTCCCAAGAGCAAATAGCCAAAGAGGGGAAAAAACAACAACAACGTTTGGGCATTCTAACATGGGAAAAGAGTAAAAGAAAATCCATTGCAGGGCAGCATACTGTCAGCAGTAGAAGCAAGGGCAGGTTCTTGCTCAGTGGCTAACTTTACCACAATAAAAGAAAACACCATATGGAGGTTCTTTGATGTCCATCATCCTGTTTTGAAGAAGACTACTGGTGCTGCCAGCAGCAGACATGTCTTCTGTGTCTCCTTTGTGCCTCGATTTCTCCCGGCCAGATGTCCATTTTACATGTCTGGTTGTATTGGAGAAAAGAAAGATGTGGGAGTTTATCTTTTGAGACAGAAACCTAGAGATTACAATTCAATGCATGCTCAGTGACTGAGCCCCTAGTTGCTAAGAACAAGAGAGTTTTCATTGCAAAAAATGAAGTTGTGAAACAGAGGCTCCCTAAAAACACACAGATAAATACATAAAAAGAAAGTCCCTTCCCGAGTATACAATAAGAAAATATAACCCAATAGCCATAAATTAAAACTCTGGAAATTCTATAAGAAAGATTCTGGCCTTTGGGAAACCAGAGAAAACCTGGACTCAGACTGTGCCACAGGAAGGGACTCTGGGAATAAAGTTAATCACTCCTAGTCAGAAATCAGCCAGGATTGTTGATTATGCTTAGACACCTGGCCCTCAGACTAATCAGACTGCCAGTCCACGGACTGACAAAACTCATTGTGACAAACTTAATGCTAGAGGACATATATTGGTCTTAAACTTGCCTAATATCCAAATCCTTTAACCTAGGTACTTCCCCTTATTCTGATGCCTGCTGTTCCACTTTGTGAGTTAATTAATATGAACAACCACATTATTCCTAGGCCTCTGAGACTACTCGTTTGGCATGTACTACTGGCTTGACTAAATGTCCCTCTTCTCATGCTTTTCAAACTAAGTAGACAAGTTGATCAGGACCTAGAGGTATTAAAAGTTTCCATTTCTGAATTAAAACAACAGTTAGATTCCCTTATAGAAATGGTCCTACAAAATTAAAGAGGCTTAGATTTAACTTCTCATTAGATAAAGGAAAAAGGAAACTATGTCTAGCTTTGGAATAGACCTATTTTTCTGTGCTAATTGACCAGAAGAAACTAGAGACAATATTGCCACGGTTGGAAAAAAAAATCAAGATGAGCAAGAGACAAAGACACAAATCAGATAACTGGTACCAGTCTCTGTTCTCTGGTCCCCTGGTTGACTACTCGGCTATTAGTAATGACTGACTGGATTAACAGAAAAGCCCTGAATGGTAAACTTTATGGCCAATTACATATCAGATCAGTAAAGTCAATGGTCCTTAAGACCAATTATGTCTCTTTAGAGAAAGATGAATGGCATAGGTACAATGCCTTAAACAAAAGTAGAAACATATAAAATATAACAAAAATAACATTAAATTTGTATCAATATATAAAAATCCACACCTATGGAAAAAATATTTGAAACTAGTGGTTGTTAAAAAGTAAACTCAACAATCCACTCTTTTATCTCCTCATCATTTCTATATCTCCCCCTTTTTCCTTCAGAAAGAGATTTCTGAATATAATCTCCTTTGCTCAGCTTTTTTTCCTGACCATGTCCAGCAACAACTTGTAACTGATGCCCCTAAACAATGACAAATATCCACAACCGACCAAATGAGCAAAAACCACCCACGACATCTCTTGGGAACGTGGGTGTCATGTTCTCTATACTGCTTCCTGTTGTCTGGGGGTGATGGCATCTTTAGGGGACCCTGAGAAAATTGGAATAATGGTCCAGTCTTGGTGTGACTGGAAAGTGTAGGGCTTATCTGAAGTCTTGGCTTGATAGTGAAGCTGGACCATCTCAGCTAGCAGCTCTGAAATTGTTCTGGATGCAGAGTTTTTGAGGAAACTTCAACAGAGGCATTCTGAGAGGTTGGATCAATTGGGCTATTTGTCTGTATTGGTTTCTGGTCCTTTTTTTCTGAAAGCACAAACTTTTAAAGGTACCATAAGTATCTGCATTAGCACAATGGAATGTGCAGTGTGTACAAGTCAGCTAAAGATTTTTCTCTTCTACGTTTGAGCAGGTAAAAGGCATCTGCCAACTTTATAAGTCCGTTTGTACCGTATCACCAAACCTATAACCATTCCATATGAAAGGATGGCATGTAATAATGTCATGAGGACTCTGTAGTCAACAAGATTTATCATGTCTCATCCAATCTCAGAGCTGTTCCCGTGTAGAGGGATCAGCATATGCATCACATGTCCTGTAGTCTTTCTTGGCTCATTTTTATGTCTGTAACTAAGATTTTCAGTTCTCCACTGACCAACTCTGACCTTCATTAATTTTGAAGAGAACCATCACCTTTTTGTTTCATGTGAAAATGAAGACATAACCTCTTCCCCAACACAATATATTTTCTGACTTCCATTTTGAAGTTATGACATTCTTAAAATATATAGGTTGGTTTAATTTAGCAGTTTCCACAATCCAATGTCTCTCAGTGGCTATTGTTTTTTATACAATAGCATTAAAAAAGTTCAAAGTCAACAAAGCACCATACAGGATCCAGGCACACTGTGTATTTCCATCTTCATGCTATTCATATTTTTATTACATTGCTCTCTCTTTAAAGACTTTGATTTTTTTTTAAACTGTTTTTCTTTTTTTTCCTTCCACACCAAAGCACCTTTTCAAGCATAATGTGCCTTTTTTTTAGAGGTTTTTTAGTCTGGGCCTGGCTTTCTCCATGTCTACAGCATTTGCTGACCACGAGACAAATCTTAAACGGACACAGAGTTGCTTCATGTCTCTGGCAGCTGGCTCTGCCACTTGGTTCCTTGAGAGCCTAGTCTCATGCTGGCATATTTACTGCCCCAATTCTGGGGAAATGCTGTGTCCACAATATGGCAGGCATTTTTACCTAGCATGCCAGCTGCTCAAGTACTCTGCTGTAGAAGCAGACAATGTTCTTACACACCTGGCCATCTCTCCAGTCCCATGATGTGTCTACATATACAAAGCCCTCACGGCCTTGCCTTTTACAATTAGTTTGTTACATAAGCCTTCAACCAACATGAGCACATACTTGGTATATATGTAAAAAAAGAAACAATTACTGTCGGAGCATGTTCTTGTTGTCTAACACTATACCTCAGGCAACTTTTCATGTTGGTATATGTAGGTCCCTCTGAGTCTATTGACGGACACTGAGGTCATTTGCAGTGTTTTGCCATTACAAACAATACAGAAACATCTTTGAAAGCAAGCATCTTTCAGCACTTAGACTTTTAATTTTTATTTTATGTATATGAGTGTTTTTGCCTGCATGTGTACTACATTCGTGCAGTGCTGTGGATGTCAGCTGAGGGCATCGGATCCTCTGGAATTGGAGTGATGGGTGGTTGTATTCTACCAAGTGGGCTCTGGGGACTGAACTCTGGTCCTCTGCAAGAGCAAAAGTGCTCTTACCTGCTGAGCCATCACCACTCTGGCCCTGAGCATCCTTGGAATGCCTTTGAGTACTTTCATGAGAGCTTCTGTTAGTCTATGGGAGGAATTTCTCTATCAAAACCTTTACTTACTGGCAAATTTTAATTTAGCTACTGCCAAATTGCTCCCCAGATACCTCCTGAAATAGGAAATAATTTCTCATGATGATATAACACCACAGTGCTGGGTACACCACCACTGCTCATTAATTAATGGTTGCATTAAATTATTATAAACACTAGTTCCTATTGTGTTTGTAGGAATGCATCTGACAACACTAAAGTCTATTGCCTTTTCTATCTCCTTTCTTTGCCTTTTTTTTTTTTTTTTTTTTTTTTTTTTTTTTTTTTTTGAGACAGGGTCTCATTGTGTAGCTCAGGATAGCCTTGAGCCTATGATTGTCCAACTTCAGACTACTGGGATTACATGCGTAAGCTATCTAGTCTCACTCTTAATTGCCCTGGACATGTGAGTTACATGATCACTGGTAATGTTTTGGATTCAAAATAGAGTGGCTGTAGTAGCAAAAGTAAGAAAAAGGAAGAACACCACAGTACACAGCACTTCTGCCTGTCCCCTCACTGGCCAGCCATTTGTTGTCACCTGAAATCATAAAATTCTAGAGTAGACAAGAGCCTTCGTGCCAAATACTCTGTTTTGCCTTTCATATTTTCTAAAATTACATTTATTTTTTTATTATTTGTGTGTACACACACACGTACAGGCTGTAGGGACAACCTGTAAGAATCATCTTTTCCCATCCACCATACGGGTCCCATGGATCAAACACAGGTCATCAGGCTTGGTGACAAGTGCCTTTCCTCACTGAGGCATCTTTCTGGCCTGTTGGCCTCTTATATAAAGGACCCCCAGTCCTGCCAAAGGAATTGTAAGAATTATTTATTCTAGCCTTTGGGTGCCATCCAGGGAAAGGTTCCATATGCTTTGTGTTTGGTTCACCTGTTAACTTCAAGGGAAACTTTCACCCAGTTATCAGAACCCCTGATGTCCTGCAAATGGAGGATAGCTTCATATTCCTTGAACTGGCTATTCAGGTGGCATCAACTAGATTTCCAAACAGTGTGGTACTTCACTGAAAGGCAAGTCATGCTATCTACATCACAGCTCTGAAGAGGACCAGGGGAAGCTTCTCCTGGTAGCTCCAGACATTGTTGCCATTGAGAACCTAATGCCAGTGTCATCAGCCCTGGGAAAACTGGCCAATGAGCTGTGCTGAAGATGGCCACTGCCACTCAGGCCCCTCAGACTGCTGGTGTCATTACTCCTGGGACCTTCTTCCATCCAATCCAGGGAACTTTTTGAGAGATGCATCTTCTTTCTGGTCACTGAAGTTAAAATGAATTGCAGAGTCTACTTAAAGCACCTTTTCATAGCTTCCTTTTTTGACTGAAACTCACAGTTATTCAAATTGCTTCAATTGATTGTAGCGCTTAAATGAGACACACTGTTTTTCCCTGAGTTTTTTTTTTTTTTTTTTTTTTTTTTTTAGTTCTATCAATTTTTTTCTCTCTCTCTAATTTTCTGCTTCAAGTCAGCTAAGGGCTAACATGAGGTAAGCAAGCTGATTACAACTGTTAAGTGATCACGCATGTTAATGGCTGAGCACTGTCATGCTCCCAATAGATGGGGGGCCACTGTGTATCTATACTGTGCACAGAACTCTGGGAGGGGTTCAGCACCTTTTAGAGTTAAAACCTCCCCTGATGCCAAAGAAACAAAGAGTTTGTCTTCAAATGCTTTAGCACTTGGCCAAATTTGACTTTGTTCTGTTTCTGTTTATCACTATGTAGTCTAGGTGAGCTTCAAGCTCTTTATCCTCCTGTCTCAAGCCTCCAGAACGCTGGGGTTCTAGGATGCAATGCCACGTTCCACTGACAAAGCCTGTTTAAAGGAAACTGAGTGGCTGGGGTGTAATAAAAAGAAGTTGTTCAGCACATCGAAGGCCTTGGGTTCAGACCTCAGCATCAAAACACGACAGAGGAGGCAGAAGAGTCCTTTCTCTACTCCTTCACTGATACATAATGCCAATTTTGGTTTCTGTATCAGAAGTATATTGGGGACAATGTTTGTGACGGCAAAGTAACCAAAGACATCAATAACCTAGTACTGAAATTTTTCAATACGTTAACTTACATGGTAAAAGGTATTTTGCAGGTATGTAAAGCTAAGAGAGATTGTCCTGGATGGGGGGGCTAATGTAGTACATGTTCTCATATGTAAAAGAGGGAGGCAGGCAGTATGACTACAGCAGCAGTGTACACAATAACGATTGCTAGAAGGATAAACAAAGGAGTGCAGGTGGCCTCTAGAAAGTGGGACAGGCAAGGAGCTTCCCCTGGAGCCTCGGGAAAGCAGTATGGTGATCCTAGCCCTTTATCTTAGCTCAGTGAGACTGTTTTGGATTTCTGACCTCTAAATTGAATTATAAGATAATAAATTTGAGTGACTGTCGTCACCACATTCATGATATCTTGTAATGGCAGCAATAACAATGTATTATCGTAAGGCAGAACAGGTCAGGGTTTTTGTTTTGAGATGTATTCGTTTTACTTTATATGTATAAGTGTTTTGCCTGTATGTTTGTCTGTGTACAACATGTCTGCCTGGTGCCTGCAGAGGTCAGAAGAAGGCACCAGATACCCTGGAACTGGAGTTATGAGTTATGGATAGTTATGAGACACCATGTGTGTTGGGAACTGAACCCAGGTTCTCTTCAAGAGCAACAAATGCTCTTAACTGCTGAGCTATATTTCCAGCCGCAGCACATGCCTGAGTTTTGCTTTAAGGACAACTGTTGTTTTGTACTTAACTAGAGCAAACATCTTTTAAATGTAGGTGATAATTTGGGCAGTACAATTTGCTGGAGCCTCCTGTTTTGAGTTACTGTCATGTCTTCTAAGTGAAAGTGTTGCTTACTGATTTGAAGTACAAGGACAAGATTATTATCAATATCTGGTCCTCCAAAGTGATAATAAAATTTATATAACTTCTTTTTACTAAGAAGTGCTTCATATTTTAGCATACATACATACATTTTACACAAAACATAACTTTTATTGTTTCTGATATATATTATTTACTACTGGTGGCAGGCCATTTCTTGAAAGCAAAACAGGAGAATTCTAAGCAGAGCTGGGGATGCAGCTGAGCAGTCGAGCATTTGACTGGCACATTCATGGGTTAGCCCTCCAGCACCACAAAGAGAGCAAACAGGAACTGATGGGAGATGTCATTATGTATATATGTTTCTCATACTGGTTAATGAATAAAACACTGTTGGCCAATAGGAAAGGAAGATAGGAGGGACTAGGAGACAAGGAAGAAAGATGAAGTAAGAAGGAGGAGTCAAGATGGAGAGTCTGGAGAAAGGAGAATGCTGGCTGGCTCCCCGGTAAGAGGAGACCACGTGGAAATACATAGATCAACAGAAATGGGTTAATACTTAAGATAGAGCTAGCTGATAAGAAACTAGTACCTGACCAACAGCATTATATCAAATACAGAGTCTCTGTGTGTTATTTGGGGCTGGTGCGGCAGCAGGACAAGACTGGTGGCGGGAGGAAAAACCTTACTTCTTACAAGGAACCAGCTGGGCAGAAGGCTTGGCCAGTCAAGTGCTTGCTGCACACATGAAGGTCATCATCAGTACTCACATCAGCCAGGCACCACGGCACACCTGGTCCCTAGTACTGAGATGGGAGGCTCCTCCTGCCAGTCTAGCCTGGTGTCAAGCCCCAGATCCCACTGAGAGATGCTGCCTCAAAACACCAGGTGGAGAGCTCTTTGGGAATGACAGCTGAGGTTGACCTCTGTCCTCCACACACAGGCACATACATGTACTTGCAAACACAGACACACACACACACGATTAAGCACCAACCAGATAACAATTCTATGGTGCACCGAAGGGACAACACTTGAATGAGCTTTTTGTTTGTTTGTTTCTTTCTTTTTTTTCAGGTCCCCCCACCTAACTGAATACAACAAAGGCTTTATCTTCTATAAACTTGAATATAGATCTTGCTAGAGCCTCAGGCAGGGCCAGGAATGGGAAGAGCAAAGTGAAACACTTATCTGGGTACAAAATTTAAGGGAAAAAGAAATATTTTAGTAATCAAAATTGATTGTTAATTTTTTTTTTTTTTTTTTTTTTTGAGACATGCCACATAGACCAGGCTAGCAACAGACTCACAGAAATCAGCCTGTCTCTGCCTCCCAAGAGCTGGGATTAAAGGTGTGCACCATCATGACTATCTTATAATCATATTTTAAAAAGCTATATTAGTAAGCTGTGGTGTGTTGCAGGAGAATACTGGAGCCCCAGTCACCCTGCTCAAACCAGCCTGCATAAGCACAGGAAGCCGGCACTTCCACTCTGAGCCAAGGCTGCCTCTATGCCCAGAGACTGCTTATGAAGGTACACCTGACCTGAGACACCAATGAGGAAGGACAACAAAGCAGAGTCAGCCACATGAGCCAAGAGGGCCTTGAGAGGGAGTATAAAGGCAGGGCTAACTTCCTTAATAAACAAGTTTGCAGCACGCTCTGCTGCTCACTGACTCCCAGTGTATTTATTGTCTTTGTCATTAACTCTGTATCTTCTCACCACCCCTCCACTCCCGAAACCCTGGCCAAAGGATGTCTGAGTATGGTCACCTGCAACATCTGGCAGCCCAACATGGGTCTCCTATGCTGGCATGGGCTCCACCCTGCTTGAATCAGGGAACCTTGGGAGGAGGTATAAAGGCAGGTCCAACTTCCTGAATAAAAGAGTCTGTGGCATGCTCGGCCACTCACTGACTCCTGGTGTCTGTGTCCTTGACTCTGCATCTTCTCACCCCTCCCCCAAGGGGTGTCTGAGCAGGGTGGCCAGCAACAGTGTATGGGCAAGTTGAGCAGAGAGAAACAGGAGAAAGTGGCAAAGTCACAGTGTCTCCTACAGGAAACCAGGAAAACACAAGCCTGCATAAAATGCACAAGGATATTTTGAAAACAACATAAAAAGATAAACATGTTGTGGTGGTTTGAATAAGAATGCCCCCATAGGCTCATGTATATGAATACTTAGTCACCAGGGAGGGGACTATTTGAGGAGGATTAGGAGGAGTGGCCTTGTTGGAGGAAGTGTGGCATTGGACCTGCACTTGGAGGTTCCAAAAAGCTCACAGCAGGTCCAGCATCTCCCTCTCTCTCTCTCTTCCTTCCCATGGATCAGGATGTAGCTCTCAGCTACTCCTCCAGCACCACATCTGCCATGCTCCCTGCCATGATGATAATAGACTAAAACTCTGCAACTATAAGCAAGCTCCAATTAAATGTTTCATTTATAAGAGTTGCTGTGATCCTGGTGTCTCTTCACAACAACAGAACAGACTAAGTCACATGTAACAAAAACAAATACATCAGAAGGGTAATATCTTTAATGTATATACAGTTAGCACCATCAATAAGAAAATATCCTTATATAAAGAAAACCCCAGTAGGCAAAAGGCAGGGAGGGGGAGATCAACGATACTAACAGATATATCTAAGACATGTGGTTGGAGGCAAACAAAGCTGCAAGTGGTGACAGACTATGATCCCAGTACTGGGGAAGAGTGCCATACATTCAAGGGTAGCCTGGGATACATGATGAGCTGAGGCCAGCCTGGGCTACATAACACAGAAAGAGTGGAAGGAAGGAGGAAGGGAGGGAGGGAGGGCAGGTGGGCAAAGCAAAGGGAAAAGAGAAGAGAGTGAAGGAGAAGAGTTGAGGTTGTAAAGTATTCATGCATAATTATCCTATAGTACATGTTAGTACATTCATAGGAAAAGCTAAAAGGCAATATATCCACCTGTTTACAGGCTAACACTGCTCTCCCTGAACAATGAAAGATCCAGGCCCTCCCTTTCTACATTACATGTTTCTTCACATTTGGACTTTGAGAATTCACATACTTCTTTTCGTAGGTGAACAAAAAGGAATGTTTAAAAGTGAAACTTACTAGCCTGGGTTTTGAGAAGGTCTGTCACCAGCAGGAAGATGTGGACTCTGGCCACAGCCCCATTCCAAGGGTGCTGGATAACACACGCTGCAGCCACCTCCCTAGAGAGCAATCTGGAATCCAGACCACAGCCCTGAAAATGTCAGCACCTGTTGACACAGTGACTCCACTCTGGGGAATGTGTGCTGGGAAAATGACTGCACAGAAACAAATATTTTTTGTGTTATTCTTTCTGTGTAAATCTAAACATTCAGAAATATGGAATTCTTTACATAAATTATTAAACATTCTTCTAATATTCTATAGTAATTAAAATATAGAAGTCTACTGATATAAGAAGATGTTGAAAAGTTTAAATACTAAAAACAGGTCACAAAACTATATGAACAATATGAGCCTCGATTCCTTAAATCTAAATCTGCACCCCTATAGGAGCACTAAGTTCCTGACCCACATTCAATTAAAATCATCATCTTATTTGAAGAGAGGAGCAGGGCTGTGGACAGTAACTTGGGTTTGTGATCCACAACCCAGAGTGATACTATGCATTCTATGTGAGGAAATCGCTTTTTTGCATCATGTACTTATTTAGTGGCGATGGGGGAATACCCACAAAGGTCAGAGGACAACTTGCTGGAGTCAGTTTCCTCCCTCCTTCCATCATACGGGCATGGAGGATCACACTCAGGTCATCAGGCTGACCTACTTGAAGGCCCTATCTGAGGAACTACATTCTGGCCTTTCTGCCTCTGCCACACCAATGACGGTAATATGCATTAAAAAACTGGAGAGTTATTGGCAATATTGTCATCTTTCAGATGTTCATGTGACCCACCAATGATTGAAGGCTTATCCTAATTCCATGTCACTAAGCTTTTTATTAGGTAGATGAGAAAACAAAATACAAAAGAGTTGACGAATTTAATTAACTTTAAGCAGAGATTAGTGGAACTCTCCAGTGAGAGATGAGGAACTTCATGCTCTCATAGCATACAAGGAAATTTTGAAAGCAGTTTCTACAGATAAAATCTGTAGACTTCCTGGGGATTCCTAAGGAGACAGGTTAATGCCCCAATTGTGAAAGTAAATCACAGCTGAATTGCATAAGCTTTGTATTCTCTCTCTCTGAAGGGCAGATAAACCTCAGCACACACCCACCTCTTGCCCTCACAGGAATCTTTGCCCAGTAGCCCCAACTCTATAACCTTAAAGTCACTGACAATCCTGAACACATGTGCTGACTAGCCTGTAGGACATTTTCTTAATTAGTGATTGATGGGGGAAAGTTTGCCTGTTATGGGTGGGGCCATCCCTGGGCTGGTGGTCCTGGGTTCTTTAAGGAAGTGGACTGAGCAAGCCATGAGGAACAAGCCAGTGATCAATACTCCTCCATGGCCTCTGCCTCAGCTCCTGCCTCCAGGTTCCTGACCTGTTTGAGTTCCTGTTTTGGTTTCTGTCAATAGACCTTGATTGAGGATAGTTAAGTCAAATTAACCCTTTCCTCCCCAGATTGCTTTCATCACAGTAGTAAAAACCTTAACCAAGACAGCATACAATGTCAAACTATCAGCCCCAAAATAAATCCATTGCCCTCTATTAGAAAATAAATCTAACTCCAAATAGCTACAATGAAGAAATTAGTATAATGTAAAAGAACATATTATGCTTACTAAGATTTAATAACAAAACTTATACTATATTGTGCTACTTTGTATACAGGGTGCTAGGATATTTTATGTTTTAAAGAATTTAACACATATTAACATGATTGACACTTTAAACCATGTGTAATTGGAATTCTTAGCATCTGACCAATCCGAGTCTTCCTGAACATTGGAAAGCCCTTGGTTAGGTACATGGACTGGTCAGGCCGATGCAATACGGTTGCACCTTTCCAGATAAAAACCAGAGCACAAAGCAGTGCCTAACCTGCTCAAAGAAACCGTCAGCAGCAGAGCCAGAAGTTAAAACTCAGCAGGCTGGAGGCCCACTGCTACAGCCAGAGTCTGGAGCACTCCCCATGGCTCATGTGTTGAAGATCTGGTCCTCAAGTTGGTGCTATAAAGAAGTGGTAGATTAACAGACAATCGGTGACTTAACTGGGGAATGTCCTTGAAGGTGACCCTGCTTCCCCCATGAGGTACCATCTTGTTCCCTTTCTCTTACCAGCTACCATGAGGTGACTGAGAATGGAATGAATCCTCCAAAACTGTGAGCCAGAATGAGCCATTTCTCTTTTCAAGTTGATTTTCACAGGTGTTTTGTCCCAGTCAGAGGAGGTGTGTACTCACTACGATGGCATTTCAGTACTCTGGAAACACACTAACCTTCCAGGGCTGGGATGACAATGTCACATGATAAGGAGGTCACATGATGAGGGGGTATAGTCTGACATCTTAGGGATGTGAAAGGTCAGAGGCAATCAGATATAAAACAATGTGTGAATTTCATACTTTTGAGGAATTAAATAACTGAAATTATAAACAATTCAAATACAAAAGGAATTTGATTTGCTTTTTATGTACCTTATTCTGACTGACATGCAATTCTTAAGAAAATCCTACTATATAAGTATATAAATGTGAAATTTAACATAGTAAATTAGTTAACCCGGTGAACATTTATCAAAAGACGAAAGTGTTTTAACATAAACTTAATAGATTTTAAACAAATTTGACAAATTTGGTTAAATGTTTAACAAGTAGGTCTAAAATTTGTAACTGTAATTGGACCAGCAAGATGGCTCAGCAGATAAAGACATTAGCACAACCTGAATTCGAACCCAGAGTCCACACGATGGAAGGACACACAATCACAGGCCCCCACACAGGGAGGGAATCACTGGGCAAGTTTGCCTCTGACTGCCACACACACACACACACACACACACACACACACTCACACAATAGTAGTGGTGATGATGATAATAGTAATACATTTTTTAATATTTACTTGAAATTCTCATTGACAGTTGGTACAGATAGAACCCTGAATCAATTGCAGCTGGGAAATTGAGATAAAGAAAAACCACTTCCCCAGGTGATGTGAAGTGGTATACCCTGCGCTCCAGCTCATAAGGACAGTGCACTCATCACTTTCCTAGACCACCTCCAGAATAGAGAGATTGTGTTTTTATAAAACTGTGGTTTTCAGCCTTCCCAATGCTGCAATGTTGTGTGACCCCCCAGCCACTGTAATTTTGCTACTATTATGAATCATACTGTAAACATTTGTGTTTTCTGATGGTCTTAGGCAGTCCCTGTGAAGGAAAGGGCCTTTGACCCCCAAAGGGTCACAACCTTTGTGTTGTGAAGGTTGAGAAGGGCTGCTATAAAGGTCAGTCGCTGGAAATACACCTCAGCGAAAGAACTGTCATTTAGCAAACCTGATGCCATGTTCAATCCCAAACCCCTCCCCAGAGAAAATCCAATGCTAAACACGACCCAGAGAACTAGATATGCTAACAAGCCAACACTAGTCTTTCTTGGAGTAGGAATTATGAAGGCTCTTTAATTTTTATTTCTATGGTGTTCATTAATTGGGTAAAGGGAACTCTCTTTTCAGCCAGCTTTTAATGCTCTTTCCTGCCCAGTTTAACGTAAGGACGCTCAGGCCTTTTTATATTCTACACTACTGTGCTGTCAGTCCAGTGGTTATTAAATGCTAAACTTACCATCCTGATTACAGCTTTCCTCCCATCCATCCATTTTCTCTAAGGAATGTCTATGTCACAACTGTGTTGTTTTCCCAGGGAGATTAAGCCAAACATGTCGCAGCTACAGAAGCTTACATACACTTCATATAGGCAATTGTGTAACTTTTTAAAGTTTTTTTCTTTCCTTTAAAGGCATATGCCCTTTTGGTTATTAACTCTGGTCTAGCAAATTTAACTAAAGAAGTTCAACTGAGATGGTTCACAAACTAGAAAAATGGTATAGCCTCTGACGAAAACATGACCTGTACGGAGCTGAGCGATGCATGTCTTGAAACGAGCAGTTTGTTTCCTAGTGTCCAGTGTCCTGTTGCTCACTGAACCGCCCTAGCTTAAGCTTTCTGTAATTCTGACACATGTCACATTCTGTATTTTTTATCACATACGTATTTTTATGAATCAATCTTATTTTATAACAAAAATAAACAAATAAAAATAAATCTAAAGGTAACTAGCTTCTTAACCACAAAGATACCTTTTAAGTTGGGTCCTAGGAATACTTTACTTACCAAGGTCCAAATACATTCGTATCTTGTCCCGGACTGTTCGTGTGGTGGAAGTTTCTGGATGTAGAAACTTCTAGAGAGTGTGCCCACACAACACAGCACCGTGCCTGGCCTGGTGAGGACTAGGGGTCAGCTGGGGATTAGGGCGCTGACACTATGGTCTGAGCCAGCCACTCACCCAAGGTGGCAGCCAGGATAGAGAATGAGCTAGGCTGTGAGGAGCAGAGCTGAAGCCGGAGCCCTGCTGAGAAGCTGGCTGGACTGAAGCTCTTCCCACGCCGCCCCGCCCTTTCTCCTCCCCACCGACTCTCTTCAAGCCCCGCCCTCGGCCCCGCCCCGGCCCTCGGCGCCTGCGCGGGGCGGAGCCTCTAGCTCGCTTTCCCTTCTGCGGTTCATGGAGGTGTCCGGAGGCTTGTGCAACTCTTGGCTGCAAACCTGGCCTTGCAACCGTGGCCCGGGAGGCGTCGTGGCCTGGAGTTGCCTTGGCTGTGAACCTGTTGGGATGGGTGGGTTCTGAAAGAACGGTTTCCCAGCCTTTGATGAAGTGATGGGATGGGTGAAAGGCGAATATCAGAGCTACAGAATGTTTAAGCCGGGAAGACCTCAGAGCAGGGATGTACCACTGAATTCTTGGCTTTTGATGGGCGGGAGGTGTGTGTGTGTGTGTGTGTGTGCTGAGCTCCTGATGAATCCCAGCCTGGCTTTGAACTCCTTCCAAATACTGGGGTCATAGGCGTGCACCGCCACTCCAGGCTACTAGAATACTAAACATTTTTTTCGGCTAATTCATTGTCACCAAATAGACATGGCTAGACTCACCATCTACGTTGCATTAATTTGGAGCTGTCTTTAAGCAACAGTACATGAGCTACCTGTTAATTACAGTAGACACCCGACCTAATCACCTTCAGACCAAAGTTTGACAAGAAAATGAGGGTGTTCGTGTTTTTGGCGTTCTCTTCGAGATCCTGAAAGATACTGGAGAAAAAAACTCCAGCGAATATTTTTCTTCAACAAATGACATGAAGCCACTGTCATTTTGGTTATTTTTGTTTTTTTCCTCCATGGTCTAT